AACAGCAGCAGATGCAGGAGGATTGGATACAGAATCGTCGACAAAAACGGAAACATCAATAACAGCTCTCACGGCAGGGCCAGCACAGGCAGCAACAGAAAGGAACGGCCGGCACGAGAAGGTCGTCGCCGACTCGGGAAGCGGAGATCCCGAGGGAGCCGATCGACCCGTCCGGCGGCCCTACGGCCGTCCGCATCACCGGCTCGTCGCAGCCGTCCCCATCCCCGGTGGCGCCCGGGCGCATCGGCGGCGGCAGCGGCGGCAGCGTCGGCGGCATCGTCACGCCGCAGGGTTTCCAGCCCTCCACCTTCAAGGAGATGATGACGGGGGTCAGAGACACGCCCACGGCGGAGAAGGGGTACGGGTCGGCCGCCTGGGACTCGCCGTCGCAATCACGCGCTGACGGCGATGGCGGCGGCGGCGGCGGCGAAGAGGAGGAAGAGGAGGAAGAAGCGGCGGCGCCACGGCACGGTGGAGGCGTAGTCGTCCAATACAAGGGCGGGTCGAGCAACGCGGTCACCGTGAGGAAGATGGCCGAGCTGGAGAGCATCTGGGGGTCTGCGGCGGCGGCGGGGGCGAGCGACGAAGATGACGGCAACGATTGGCGCAGGGCAAGCGGCCGGTATCGGCGCATCAACGGGGAGTACCGGCCACCGAAAACGGCGGCGTCGAACATGACCACGACGAACAAAACGACGACGAATGCGCTCTACGGCGGCGCCGGGGGCCCGCTCGGCCAGCCGGCGTGGTCTCTCGACGGGACGGCCGACAAGGCGGCGACGATGGCGGCGGCGTTGTCGGGGGCCGGGGAGGACAGCAAGGGGGCGACGGCGCCCGGGAAGCGGCAGCAGAAGCGAGGCAAGAGCGTCGGGAAGAAGATCTATCGGATGTTTGGCAGGAAGACGGAGGCAAAGTAGTCGTTTCTTTCTTTCGCGCAGCTTCTTCGTTGGGGGGAGGGCGCATCGGGGGGTAAGACGGGGGGGGAGGTGTATGCGGGTGGAGATGATTCGCACGTATTTGTGGTCGCGCGGTTGGGCGTGCGCGCGGTGAAAGAGGGAGGACTCGGATCGGTTGACGGTCCATGGTCGAGGCGGGTTTGGTGCGACGGTCTTGCGGAGAACGCCGTAGGAGCCGGGGATGGTGTGTGAAGACCGATGGTGGCCATAAGGCTTGTGTGGGTGATGGTGCAGCCGGGTACGACGGCAGGTGACCACACAAACAATATAGACGTTTGAGAGTGTTGCGTGTCCGAGTATTAAAACGGTTTTGGCGTCTGTTTCGTCCGAGTTTTTGGTGTGATATTGCCGGTATTTTTGCGTGTCCTTCGGTCGGGGGGTAGTAGTCTGGTCGTGCGCGTCGCTTGTTCGTGCGCATGGAAGAACGCGTAAGCCTCTGCGAGTGAATGTCCATGAATCCTTGGATATGCAGAGTTAGTTACCTTGCCCGGCTGGCTGCAAACGGCCCTCCACCGTCTTGATGCATGGGCCCGTGGTCAAAGCCTGCTCTAGTCAAGGTGTTGGTTCCGGCTAGCTCCTCTTGGGAGTTCCAAAAAACAGTCGTTTTCTTTAAATTTTTCATTTTTTTCGGGCATCGCTCGCCGGCGTGACGAAGAAGGCCGTGGTGTCTGGCTGTCGATGTTCAATGGTTATGTCTTGCTGTTTCCGCTCGATTTTGGGCGGCGTGTCTAGTATCGATCGATTAATTCGTATTTTAGTGTTGGGGGTTTCGTTCCGTACGGACAGGTGTTGAGAAGGGCCGCTGCTGCTGCTGCTGCTGCTGCTGCTGCTGCTGCAGGGTCGTGAACCAGTGTCCAGACGTGATGGTTTCGTCGTGTGTCAGAAGGTAAAATTTTGATATTTGCGGTTGGTTGTGACGGTCGCATGACAGAGAACGCACCACCATCAGATGGATAGCTAGAGGGCTGCTGTTCTTTCGAAGCATGAGAACTACCGTATGCATAGAACCCCACCCTGCATGTATGCTACCGAGCCTTTGATTTATCCCCGCTGGTGTCCTCCCCGCGGAGGAAAAAAAGGGCGAGGTAGGGGCCAAATAAAAATTGTTTTTGTAAGTGAAGGCCATTCTAGGAGTGGTTTTCTCAGAGGAAAGAGCAGCGACGAGTCAGTGTCAAGAAGCCCTCCGGGCTTTGTATGTCCGTCTGCACGACAAGACGTGGACCGCATCTATTCCTTGGAGGTGTGTACAAATATTCTCGCTTTTTCGCCGAATTGTTTGTTACTTTCTCTCTGTTCGTCTGGAGCTTCGACGTGAAAAGCTCGTCATGTTGTGTGTAGCTGCTGCGGGAGATAGATAGGTGGGTACATATCGTGCTCCGATCAAAACAAAGGAATGGTTGCGGATGTTTAATCTTCCGAAAATCTTGGTGTTGAATAGAGAAGGGATTGAGCGGGCTGTGTTGGGCAGAAGTCCTTGAGATTGACTATCATGTCAATACTTTTTGTTTTTGGTATTTTCTGGACATGTCAGTTGTTAACTGCTGGCGTTTTAGATCTGCTCTGGTGATGTACAAGCATCGGGGTGCCAATTGATGTGTGTCGAATCTAACATACGACGCCGGAGAATGTTGGCGGGGGATGGGGTTTTGTCTCTATTCCGTCTATAATTATTATTAATACGAAGATTTTCTGGCTGCTTCTTTCGTGTTACACCTGCGACTTCCCCACCACGTAAAGCCCTTCGTGTTTTCCTTTATGATTTCCTGCGGATTGTCTACTTTCTGTTGGGTCAACCAACCGCGACTGGCTCATGTCTTGAATTGAACGGACGGTACCAGGGATCTATCTGTAGCCGGTAAATATTTGAGGGATTTCTTGTCGACATTCTCCGTCCGAATTTCTTCTGAAGCATTTTTTTCTGTGCTTGTTGTATTCCTGGGCCAGCCTGTAGAAATGAAACGAAATAAATGAATCGCTCAACATTCAATGAGGCATGCTCCTGTGTGACCCCGGTCGGAGCTCTTGTATTGTAAGCGAGACAAGTCTGTCTGCAGGATACGATACGCAGCTAGTTTTTTCTTACAAGAAAACAACGATAAACTTCGTGCCTATCCACCGAAAGTTGACAGTGGAGCGACGGCGAGATATGGACCAAGCAGTTGATAGGCCAAAGTGAGTATTAATGTGCGCGCTTGTATACACCGAAAAACTCCGCCCATCCTGGTTCGCTCCTCCCTCCAACTTTATGTGTTTTATAAGAGCATCCAGCGCCAATGACGAGGAGGGAAAACTACAATTATATGGGCCCCACACCGGTACCGAGCAGCTAATGTGGGTGGCGGGGGAATGCTGTACGGATTCTGTAGTTATTGTACCGTTTTCGTTTCGTCCCGACATTTCAGCTGCATCGATGGAGACAACAACATGCAGACTACACAACGCACACACCAAATCAATCGAAAAATACAGCAGCAGTCGTTTTCTATCGCGAACGGGGCTCGCAAGGTACAGAATAACCAACGCTGCACAACGCCAAATCGATTATTCACTGCCTAGTTGCCCGCCACCCTCCACGCGCCCATTGATGGGAAGAAGTGGTGCCGTTCGGCACGGGTTGGTTGCGTTTCGGGTTCATGCTGCACGGTCTACCGTAATTCCACCGCATCCTGCATCTATCTGATCTCACAGATGCTCTCACGCGCTTGGGACCCCGCAAACTTTAGACCAAAACCCTTTGTTCTCGTTTCTCCGCGTTCATGCACCCGTCTATTTGGTCTTGCTTCGTATTACCGGCATGGGGACAGCTGCCGATAGGCGACCGAGCGTTGCCTTTCTTACGTCGCTTGCGGACAACACCTCAGGCTCTAATACTCCAGCGGAGAGCAGCAATCAACATGACTCACTCAGCACCTCCACATCGACGCTGCAAGCCGCACCTGGTTACTCGGAGAGCGGCAGCAACTCGAACTCAAGGGTGGAGACGCTCTCGAGGGACAGCCGCCATGGACGGGACGTGAAAAGCGCGGAGATTGATCTCGTACGGTACCAGCCTCTTCCCGGATCTGTGCGGCTAGCCAGTGTCACGGAAAAGGTATGCCTACATACAAACATACAAGAGTACAAGGCAACAGCTACATAGCCATGCATGTATGGGGACGTGTCAAGAAAATCATAAGCACCATCCTACAAGCAGCCGATACCCATGAATTCGACCTCAACGGGAGACTTGCTGCCCCATAATGAACTCGGAGTGGAGCTCTCGCAAGACAACTATTATTGCAATGTTGAATGTTGCACGTCTACATAGACTACAATAGACAGCGCCAATGCAGCTCATTACATACTCCACCAACCTACATTCGTAGAGAAAGAGGACCATGGACGGAGGAAACCTTCGGTAGAGATGGGGATCGGCACTGCGGCAATCGGGATTGGCCTGCATAACTTGGCAAAAAATACTTAATCTAATTCTACACTCCAGTCGTTCGCAGATGGGCAGCAGGTGGCGCGAACAGGACTGCAGCAGAAAAGATCATGAGCCTACAGTACCTCCAAAAGCACTGAAACTTACACAATTGAATTCGAATCCTGGAAGCACATGAGCGGAAACTTACACGATATCCTTTCGTATTCAAGGAGAAATCTAAGTCGCTCAGGAGTACGTGGCTGAATAGCTCGGCATCTGTGGACTGGAAAAGGTGTTGAAAGTTGGGATTGCCCTACACCAAGAGGTGGAGCAACAACCGTGAGTTCCTCGCGGCACGACCTCTCGGGGTTGTTGTTCCGTATTCCGTATGTCGATTTTCCCAGAAGGAGAAAACTGAGAAGGAGTCAGCATCACCTTCCTCCTCTCTCCCTCGTCACCAACCTATTCCATGGTTGTGGGGAGCCAAACATCACGATGTGATGCATGTGGAACACCTGACTACAAATGGATGTATGTGTTGTTCTACTTTGGATTTACAGGTTTTGCGGGAAGCTCCCTTCGCGGTCGGGATTTCCAAGCCAATGTGGCGGGTATTTCTTACCTCCCGGCCTTTCATGGAGCTCGCCGCCGATGGCTTCTGGTGAGCGGTGCACTAGACGGTAAGATCCATAGGGGGCGGGTGATGACTGAGACCACCGTGAACACGAAGATGGATATCTCTGCAGAGGCGGGGGCTAAGGCAGGCATGTTGGATTTCAACAGCGACATGTCCTTCCTCCCAGGCACACAACTCGCAGTGTGCGATCGAAGAACAGCCGTTGGACGCTTTCATTAGTACGAGATGAGGCGCCTGTTTCATTAAAGCACGACATGTCGCGACAATTCATCCGGGAAACGCTTCACACGTGTGCCCGACGTCTCCCTCCTACCTATGCAGGTTCGTCGTGGCGCACGAGATCCTGAGGATGCCCGTGGACGCTGCGCACAGCCCGCGGTTCTCTCGAATGGCCCACGTGTACAGTCACATGTTTACCAACGCGCCCCCCGTGTTCAAGGACATGTGGGGCTCGTACTTCTTCGAGGCCTGGGCCTTGACCTTGATAATACTACTGCAGGTCAGACAGATGAATACGTGTGCGGTTGCTTGATTAATTGCTCCGTGCGGAAAGTCTATTGGTGATTAAAACGTTGAAGGTTTTACCCAGTTGTTGCGGTGGAATTTGCTGATGTCTCCGATTCCGTGCAGCCTTGAAGAAAGCAGGTGAGATAAGCGTTGTTTTTGGCATATCTCCTGGGTTTGCCGCTCGTAAATGTCGGGGTTACGACTCCCTCCTCTGCCTAGTAAACGCGGGAGACAACGAACGACGGTGTGACGATAGTAAGCCTGTCAAGATCTCATCTGCCACAAACCACAAACGAGAAGTGGCCACTCCCGCATTCCATACATGTTGCTGACTGAAGTCCTGCCGTTAAAAATGATGGTGTGTTCCAAAATGATACTTACAGCGACAATGGAGCCCCTACTTGTACGTTAATCATGCGCTATTTGACGACGACGTCGCAAGTAGCAAGACGACGGTCCTGTTGCCCCCCGAAAACTTTCCCTTCCTCTTATCCCCTTCCGTCCCTCCTCCTCCGCCCTCTTTCCCCTCCTTTTCTCTGGGCAACTGCTCAATGTTGAGAGAAGGAGTCCTTCCCGAAGTCGAAGTCGCTGGTCGACGAGCCGTCGTTCCGGATGCGGCTGCTGGACCTGTGCGCCGAGTGGACGATGGGGATAAGGCCGAGCTTTCCGCTTGCGGGGCACTGGGTGCTCAAGTTTGACAAGTGAGATGGGACGCGATCAACTCGGGTGTCTTCGGGCCGCAGCAGCGAGCGGCGGTTCCCCTGTGTGTGCCATGGACAGCAGGAATCGGAAGTATCTCCGACGTGCGGTCTATCTTCCCTAGTGGAAAAGCCTAGGCGGTACAAGGGAAGCATCGTTCCGAGTCGGCATTCGAGCGAATAGAACAAACGTTCGTCCCGCGAGAGCGGAAAAGAAGCGTGGATACTGAACGAGATGGGCGTGAAATATCTTGAAATTTGCGTCGACGGATGAAAAAAATAGAGCCGGTGTGAAAGTGAAACAGACGGCGGATCGGCCTAGCCAGGGTCTGATGCAACATCTCGATAGCACGTTTTACGCCCAGAAAGTACCTGGTTTGCATTACACCGCAAGGACACCATTCAAAATAGAGAGGAACGCGTGGTGGATACAAACTTCCTGGACTTATCGCTGGGTTGAAGGTGCTAGTCTATCCCACACAGCGGTGATTTCTCCGAACTCCACTTCTTACATGTTGTCGGCCTTGCCAGGCGACCGCCGACGGAGCTGGAACTCCTCAAGAGGCGGACGTTCGGGGCGGGACTGTCAGGTACAAGCTCCATGCCCGCCCTACCTCAAGGGGATGCCAGCAAGGACAGTAGGTAAGTGGAGGTGCTACATGTAGTGGGTCGACGATCACTATATCTCCTGTGTTCAGCAGCGGGCTATAGGTAGATGTTCATTGTGGCGAGTAAGTCTCTCTCGTTCCTAGTTTCAGCCAAAAGCGAGTCGATCCTCCGTCAGAGGAGGACCTGCGAACAAGATCGTGCCTGCAAGTCCAAACTCCGGAGAACATGTTCAATGTCGGTACTTGAAGGCGTGCGGCAGGCGCAAGATTGCAGGCGTGCAGCCGTTCAGAAAGTAGGGAACAATCCCAAAAGAGTTTGTGTACTGCCATATACACTGCTCGTGTCCTTCCCCTCCGCTGACAGAGAATAGAAGCGACGTACATTTTTCGAAGCTGTCTGCTGAGCGGACCTCTTCCCCGACGCCTGCCTGGTGGTGTTCGGCCCTTTCCCAGGGCGAATGACACTGTTCCGACGGCCAGGAGGAGAGGCGGCATACCCGAACACCGCCTGAACTACGTCGCCACCCGGTCGGCCATCGACTTCGGCAACAGCCCCTTCGTCAAGCACCACCTGAGGGTGCTCACGGGCGGGGGGAAGACGTCGGTCACCCCCATCAGACTGCAGGTAGGTGCGTTGGTGTCGCCTTCTATTGTTCGGGTTGGTTTCTCTCCGTTAGACTTGGAGAAAAAACGTTTCAGTTCGTTGTGAAGCTTTCGACTATTTCATAGCCCGAACATTTCGAACAAGTAGAAACCCCCTGCCTTCAGGTCTGATACATCTTTTGTTCCGGACCGGCTTTACACCCCACCTTTTGTTCGGTTAGATCGTGTGAAATCCTCACGGGAGAGAGAGGGTTAGTGCTTACTATCTGTGTCTCTCCGCAACCGGGGTGTTCTGGTCTCTATTCAGTACAGATTCACGTTGGTGTTACTTCAACCGATCGAAAGTGAACGCCCGTGAAAATGGGCGGAGAAACCTCCAATAACAACAAATATCACCATTCAATCCACAATTTGCGTAAGCCCCCCTAAACAATGAAGTAAGCGAAACCTGACACATATTGGTGCCGATTGAGCATGCACACGTTCGGGAGCATGTCACTGAAGCGTTGCTCCAAGTTGACACCTTCCACCTGCGCTCATGCAGACAGATTGTTTTTACCACAAGTCTTTTTTTCAGGCTGTTCGCGCCGGCATCATGCGCACACCCTGTTTTAAGCTTTGGATTCCGTCGGATAGGTCACTGGGGAGGCGACGAGGACCCTGCGGCCGTTTCAGGAGCAGAGTCTACGTCTGGCGAATGACCGACTCCTGCGATCGAACACCTGGCGGGCAGCACAGGTGAAGAAGAGTTTGGCGTATGTGCTGTGATTGTTGCCCGATAATTGTGGTGTTGCCGAGTCCACCGACAACTACCGTTTGAGGAGCTAGTTTTCGTGAACCGAAAAGAGGAAACAGCAGTTCGACCGCTAGAAATGGTTTGAGCTGGGGTGTCAGGGACTCGTTGGGAGGGAGGGAGGGAGAGAGGGAGAGAGAGAGGGGTTAAACTGCAGTTTGGCGGCGGTGGTGGTAATGTTACAACTGTTTTTCCGAGCCTGAATTCGTAGAGGCGAACAGAACGGACGACAACCACTCGGGGTGCTTCGTGAAATCACGATGAAAATGCTCTACAGACCCCCGTCCTCTCAACCACCCTGGGACAAAGGCCGTACGCGTGAGAAACGAGAGGCCGGCGACGGTGGACATCCTGACGAGGATAGACCAGAGGAGGGAGAAGCTGATGCGGCAGCACATCTCCTCGAAAAGAGAAACCCGGCAAGAGATCTCCCGCATGCGCATCGACGCCGCCGAGGACAGGTGAGGACTCTGCAAGACTGTCGATCGCTGGGCCCGGATTTGGTAGCTTGTGTTGTGACGGATTCGCCAACTTCGCACACGGTTGTTTTGCTGCTTGCGTGCAGGTCCAGCATCGAGACCGAAGCGGCGGATCTCTTGTCCAAGGGAGACGTGCATGAGTTCAGCAATTTCCTCGTCAAGCACCAGGCCAAGAAGTACCGCAAAGCTGAAAGAAAGCTGCTCGGCAGCGGCTCCATGGGCGGTGGTGGCGGCGGCAGCCTTGCAGGAGGAGGAGGAGGGGGGAGAGGGGAAGGGGAGGGGGAGCGGGGGAAGGAGATGGGATAGAAGCGCGGCGAGGAAGTGAGAGTGACAGCAGAAGAACAACGTTGGGTGTGGAAATAGGAGATGAGGGGACAAAATCAACGGAAACATGTAGGACCTAGTGAGAATGGTTATTTAATGATTGGACTTGAAAATGTATCACACTAGTTAGTCGTTCGTATTTTAGAGTACCACAAAATTTACACTGACCCTCAAGACGTCTGTTGGCCTTATCGTCCCTGTCTGTCCCGGTTTCGACGGATGGTCCGATCGGACATGGTAGAAAGCAGACGACCCAAACCGAGCCGTGGTTTGCTTCTTTCGGGCGTTTCTCCGACAAGGCGCTCATAGTCTGTTGCAGCTGTCGGTCGAAGAATAGGCCTTGTTTATGTCGACAACGGGAGTATCGAACTGCACTGTGCCCACCGGAGGGTCTGGAATAAAATCATGAATGGACGTGATCCAGACCTCGGCGATGCGAGCCAGGCGAGAAAATACCGATTGTGTTTACACGCGGTCAGGGGGGGGGCATGGGGCGGTCAGTGTCGTTCGCATGGAACGACCTGTACCGAACCATCTCGAAGTAATGACAACCAGATGGGGCAGTCACGAGGGTATTGTGTATGCATCAGCCCCGTCCGTTGCATCTGTAGACGATCTCCCATGTACTTTTCTGTCCTATTGATTTTTTTGCGTCTTCTTGTGTCTTGTTGCTGTTCTTCGAAGTCCTGAGGGGCTTCGTCCCCTGTCCCGACTGTGATATTCTCACTCAGGGCACTGTGTTTTCGGTACTCTTTTTCTACCCCCGGACCTATACGCCTACGGCCACCTAGCCTTCCTACTGCAAACGAAATACTTACCGCCTAGGTTTCCAGGGTCGTCATAGAAGCGCCGCATCTACGTGGTGATCCAACTTGCGTTTTAGCTGATGAGTCGAGGGAGAATGGCACGGTGAAGTAATGCATGCGACCAGAAGCGAAACATTGCTCAACGCCGTAGCTACACGACCCCCGTTCGGCGACCTGGATTTCATCCCTAGACGCTGTAACGATAAATCACCCCAAAATCGCGGAGGAGAGGGGAAATATCACTAATACCATATACTCTCTGTGTTTAGCTCTCAGTTCTCGACGCGATGATGATCTCATCTTGGTTGACCCTGGCTCTTGGTCCCCTTGTATTGAGCAAACCCTCCCCTGTTCCCAAATCTATCTATCGCCTCTAATATATATATTCATCTTGTTTCATGTTTCGATCAGTTCAACAGCGGTTGGTTTCCCGCTCTAACCTTCCGACGTTTGTTCACCCACGTGGCGTATTCGCCATTGTCAACAAGATGGAACCAAAGCTCGTTGACAACCGACACCCGATCAATTGCGACCACGCGAGCGCAGGACGAAAACGAATATCGACAACGTTGACTTGGGGGAACATAACGGCATGTGATGGGGGAGATTAGCTGTTCTGCCATCCGCCCCCCCCCCCTGCCGTGCGCGTCTACGTGGTTGAGGCCCCTTCGTAGTGCTGCCATCATTCATAGATTGATACGACCATGTTACCACCAAAACAGAGATGGTAGACAGCTGGCGGCCGTCTACGCCATCCCTATCTAAGCCCCTTCGTCGACAAATGGCCTGCTGCCGGGGTCGACATCTTGGTGCAAGCCTTCCTTCTTGAGCTCGGCGATCAAGCTCGAGAGGTCCGCGATCTGCTCGTGGAGCGCCTCGGCAACCTTGTCATGAAGTGGCCAATTTTTGTTGGGAAGAAAAACATAGTTACTGGCTGCTAAGAAATGTATGGCGCGTCCACGACTGTCAGGCCTGGCTACAGTGTTGTTATCGGCAAGTTCACCATACATCTGTGATGCAAAAGGTAACTGTTTGGAGGTCCACACAGGGTTGAAACATCAGTCTCGAGAAGCTTCCTTCCGCGTCGCTACGCGTTTACGCATGTTACTCTCGAGGACAATCACAGAGACACTTTGCTGAGAGCGGTGAGGAGCAACAGCCTTTATTGAAAGAGGGAATCAAGAGACGGACAAAGACACGCATGCAGAAAGGGATGGGATACGTTGATTGATTGGGCTTGAACATGTCCAGCACAACTCTCAGGGATGAGGGATTCGTTCGTCCCCTCCAATCTCAAAGGTCTCCTCGCTACGACGCCAACAACCTATTCCCGCTCTGTAGATCACAACCCGGACTCTATAAGAAAATATTCGTCAAAGTACCGTTGTGGACCTGTTTTTCACTCTGTTCCTCTGTCTGGATGGAATTCGTTCTGTCTCGCCAGTTCTCCCACATGCTACCTTGTTTCCCGGAGGACCGTCGACATCCTCAGCGTCCGCCACCTCTTCCGACAGCACACTCACGACACTAGGGTGCTTCCCGCTAGGCATGTCTCCTTCGTCGTCGCTTAACTTCAGGAGGTGCATCGGGCGGCGGATGTGTGGGGGGGACGAGAGGGGAGAGGGTAAGAGCCCTGTTTGAGCTGTCCAAAGAGGGTTGAGCAGAAGAAGAGGGTGCTTCCAGCTTGTCTCAGCAAGCTTGCATGACCAGTGGTCAGGTATATTCGCGGTCAGCGCCCTGGAGTAACCCGGGTTGATGATGCGCATGGCTGCCGAGCACTTTCTTTCATACGTTTTGGCATCCTCCTGTCGATGTAGTGGAATCTGGGAACCGGTTAGGTGAACTGTTTCACTCCAGGGTTGGCCCAGCCTCTTTTCTTGTCTAAACGCCGCTGGGACATTTGGCCTGTAGCCTCTGAATTACATGCCGGAAGAACGCTTCGTGTGAGTCGTCATACACCCAAATTTACCCATACATGGCCTATCTGCCACAACGAAAAGGCAAGATCTCTGCCTCTGTTTCTGCCTGTCTGTCTCTGTCTAGTCTCACCCTCAGCACTTGATCTAGGTCCCGGATGCAGTCGTCCATTTGTTCCCACTCCACCGTGTTGTCCGCCGTCAGATCTAGAAAAAACTCTTCCGCCGAACTTAGCGGCTTCACCGTCACAGGAACAATTGCGTATCGCCCTGTGTGCGCGTTCATATGGACAGCGAGCGCAGTGGTGGTTGTCTGAGCATTGATCGGCATCTGTTCTTGTACGAGCCTTACCGGTTACTCGTCAATGAAGCAATAGCAGCATCTTCCATTAAGTAGAGGGTGGTCTGTGCTGAAGACATGCACTGGCATCTCTTCCACCTGAGTCGAACGTGTGCTCCCCCGCTGATTGTGTCCCTGCAACGAACGCCATCGATCGAGCGGCGATCTTGCTGGGACGGAGCTTGGTCAGCCGCGGCTTCGATCCCGTCTGCTCGAGCAAGCAATGTACGCGTACACAGCCGCCGATTAAGGATCCGCGGGTGAGACAACGAACACGAATGGCGGGGGCAAAGTGTTTCTCCAGGAAAATGGTGATGAATCTGCGGCGCCGTGCTGCTTCGTTCCGAGGGTATGAAATAAACGCTCCCCTTGGTGCCCGTGTTCAACTTAGTCCGATATGAACCATCATTAGTGTTGTTCTTCGACAGGAAGAGGCTGCAATTGGATTGACCGGCAGGCCATTGAAGTGTACACTGTGTACATACCCTGCTCGCTTCTTTGAAAACTGAAGGTCTGCACCTTGGACAAGCTCGTGCTGCGAGGACTTTTTCGGCGAAGAAAGACCAGACCCCGGAGTCAGTTGTCGCTGACCACGGGTTGATCAGGACTACAACCGTTGCGTGCATTGGAGAATAAACTGCTGGTGGAACGCGAAGTGTAGTATTATAGTACGGGATTAAACATTGAAACGTAGCTGACGCATCGCGCCAGCATAGCACCGCTACAGGCTTGTTTCCAAGCTGTCGCTACAGGCAGGCTCGCCATATCGGAATATCAGCGAGTGGCTTTTGTTCAAGACACCCACCAGCCGGACAATGTAGTATCCGATCGCGGGTCCCCTCCCTGCAGGGTCCACTTGCCAGGCTCTGTCCCAGATGGACAGGCAGACCGTCACCGTGGTCGAGTTCCGCTGAATCGTGACCGGGTAGAACGGGTTCTACATGCGAACAACAGTGCGCGATAGAGTCAGGCGCGAGCGCGGGTGGCGGGTGTGTGCTGTGTGTGCGTATGGTTCTTTTCTATTTGCATCGACCGCGCCATCCGGCTGACCAATGAAAACACGTCAGTCTCAGTGCTGTGGGTCTGTGTGACGCAGGAGCCCGTTTTCCATCAATAATCCAGGCCACAAGTTACGACCATCCCTGGGGCGTTCTCCGAGTAAGACCTCCGAACGCGAGGGTGTCGCGAATCACTTCGAAGCTTCGTACGCTAGGCATGAGTCTGCCGAGGTTTTAGATGCTTGACAAAATCCCCTTTTCTGCCGTGGGTAGGGTGCGTTCTGAAGGAAAATCCCGCTACCTAACACCTGCGTTTCTGTGGCTTTATTCTGGCACGCCTGGCCTTGCTGATGCCTAAGTGGATAACCGTCTCCTCATTTCTTTCCTTCCCCCTGCTTGGCCGCACACCTGAAGGAAAGAAGGACTGGCGCAGCCGCCGCCGGAGCCGGTGAGGGAGTCACCAGGTATCCACACCCCTCGGTAGCTCTTTCGAGAAAGGCCCTTGGACTCTTGTCCCGCGGAGTACGAGACACACGTCAGCATCTGAATCAACGAGGAGTTAGAGAGACACGCATGTCAGCATCTGAGCTAGAGACGACTCAACACGAGCCACATGGCAGCATCGTGAATCAGTGAGGAGTTAGAGACACACGGCATCATGTGAATCAATGCGGAGTGCGAGACACAAAGCTCAGCAGAGAAGACTACAAGACACCGTGGCATAATCTGAATCAACGAGGAGTTAGAGAGACACGCATGTCAGCATCCCCACCGGTGAGGAAACCGATGGCGTGCCAAACCGGGTAACATATCAACCAACGAGTGGGGCGTGTAGAGTTACCGTTAGTACTCTGGTGAGGAAGTGGATGATGTGGACTTCGCGCCAAACCTCTGGAAATACGAAAGCAATGGAAGTATCGAGAAGAGTATTCACGATGCGAGCAAGGATAGGATGCACCGCGGGAGGCTATGCCGCGGATGAAAAAATTGGACGGCGCGTTGTCGTGCCGGGGCTATCGCATGGGTAGCTCATCTCAAACACCTTTTTCACAACCGTTCCCTGCCGGCACCCCCAAAAGGGCGTAGGATCTTTGGTTAAATTAGAAGGGTGAGAACGAGCGTTTCCTTGGATTGAAGGGTGCGCGTTCCCCGTTCCTCGCCTGAGAAAACTCGGTGGTAAAGTCGTCGAAAGTCATCCAGAACGAGGATTCCTTTTCTTCTTGTTCTTGTTCTTCTTGTTCTCGTGCCCCTCGACCTGCTCCTACATCGGTTGCCTCCGTCACGGCTCCCAACGGCCCTGCACCACCACCACCTTCTCCATCCTTTTCAGCGGCGGGAGGGGGCGCAGCAGAACCGGCGCGCTGTGGTCGCAGCCGACGCAACTCGGCCTTTATGGACGGGTACGCGTCCCACATCCCGCTGTTCCTGGACCAGTCCCCTCGCCACTGGCCCACCCCCCAAGGGCAACTCAACTTCGGCGCAAACGGCAGTCAGGAGAACGCATCGACGGCGGTTTTAACAAGGGGAAAACGGGGCAGAGGATGGGGGGGGGGAGCTGGAGGGAGGCACTGGCCGTTCCCGAGCGAGCTGGACGTCTCCTCACCTAGCAAGTCTAAAACACAACAATGTGGCTACAGAATTTTTGGGCGAAGCAAGCACGACTTGCACTGAACAGACCGAGAGACACACACCTCGACCAGCTGAAACATGGCAGCGTCACGGGTGTGTGTTGCTCCGGCCGACGCCTCGCACACACTCTCGATGCAGTATCCCCGACCCACCATCAGGCCCGTCTTTCGGCGCCCGGGCCCCTCGCGGTTGTCTCCGCCGAAAGGTCCCTGCTAAATGCGGGATAAAAAATCGCCGAGAAAATTCTGCACAAACATGAGGGAAGACACGAAGTCCTGCTTTCTAAACATCAAGCCAACATCAAGAGGAGGCAATGCATTCGGGAAGCGTAAGCATCCTGGCATTAGGAGAGAGGCAGGCCTGGTGTGACTCCAACTCGCGCCCAGTTTACGTTGGTGTGGGAAGGGAAACGCGTGTCTGAACCCCCGCAGAATAGCTACAAGCCCCACGCTTTCCTTTATTCCAGACCGGTTGACGGTCAAACAGGATGTTGACGGCACCAGCATACCATGGAGGAGCTGTTAGAGGCCGCTTGTCGATTTCTGGCGCGGTCGAACTCGACACCACGGTAACACCCCATCACACACCCTCGCCCATGCCACCTGTAGCAAGGATAGAGAATTATATTGACGAAGGCGTGGTTCCGTGTGAAAATTTGCTTCCCTGCCGCTGTCAACAATTGGGAGGGGATGGGCCTCTTCCGATTCTCTACCGATGGCATGTTGATGGCCTGCTGTAGGGTGCTGCGCCGCTACGATTCACGATCGCACCTCCTCAGCCTCAAGAGTGTCGCAGGTGTCGCTTTGCAACCAACGTCACGGGTCCTCTATCAACGTAGGCGATGTTCTGTTGCCGAAGTAAGTCTCACAACGCTTGCTTCGTTCTTCCCCGCGTTGCAGGGCACGCATCTACGTGTGTATCCGGTTTTATCCCAACGACCCGCCCAATTGCAGCGACCACCCACTTCTTCATCTTCGCCCATAGATGCTGCCGACGCTTCTCAGACTCCTTGTCGGCGACACCTCCGTCCCAATCACTCTTAGGCTCTAGGCCCGTTAGTGGAGTCCTGATCAGGGGGGTGCCCGTAAGACAGCGCAGGCCCTGTTCGATCGACCCGCGACCCAAGCTCTCGTAGCAACCGTGAAGCTTTGCGAAGGCTTTCTCGATGAGGGGACCCCACACCTGCATCTCCGTTGAACGAGGGCGGGGAACGTCAAGCGTTAAAAGGTCTACCAGTGGGCTGGGGTACCTCGGAGATTCAAGAGTTGTGTCATGGAACGTGAGCATCGGGAAAAATCGAAGTGTCCGGAAATGGGTATTGGCGGGCAGGGGGAAGGCCTGGGTTCGTAGGAACGAGACGAGACGGGGGACCTATCCCCCAGACGCAGGATGGGCTGTCACAGCCATCACTGGCAGGCATGTCACATCTCCCCGAGCGTTGCATTCGTTCTCAGAGCGTGGCGTCCCTCTCTTCGTGTGAAGGTTCTGTTCGAGGAGAGATCAGAATGCGGATTGGGGGTGAAAACACAACAACCACAACGAATAGATTGCTGATAGTGGATGGGAGTAAACATCAGCAGCAGCAGCAGCAGCAACAACAATATCATCAGCAGCAATGACAGCAGCAAAGCTACTTCATGCTGGTGGTTGTCTTACCTGGTTGGGATCCTTTGAACAGCAGTAGTGCGGTGTTCGCGACGGGGAACAAGGAAGGCGATCGTCCACGTGGATGTACCGCCAAGCACCCTCCTTGAACAGCTTGAGGGTGTAGACACCTTGCCATTGACACACAAAAGCATATTGCTTGGTTCCAAGAATACACTGCGCGAAGAATCACGACAGACTTACACATTGAAAATTCAGCCCGGGAAAAGCAAGACAAAACTCCTACGTGCAGCACCCACGTAACGGGGAGCCACAACAAGGGTACAACTACAGGACGGGGAGAGTCATTTCGATCTTCAAATCTTCGGACTGCAAGTACGTTCTCCGAACGCATGAGTTCAAGCGCGAAAAGGGCATCCCTCGGGCACCCACTTTAACCTCTTCACTGGTGGCTTTGGGGCAACTCAACCCATCTAAGCCGGCTTTACCCCTCGATGTATTACGAATACACTCGTGGTTTCAATTCATAACGAGCTCCGGGTGTACGTCTCATTCCTTGGTGTGTGATACTCCACAACACTACCCTATGCTATCGTGGGTATTTCCTAACACCGAGCGTACTCCTAGACCTGACACGCTGTGAGCTGCATGCTACCTTTGTCGCTGTGTCTGTCGGAAACCACGACCTTCTTCAGCACCCCCGGTAACGGCGCGAGCATGTTCAGGGCGCTCACAAGCCACGAGTCTCCCAGCGCGCCCTGCCCCACCGCCGCGAGACCCTCATCTGGTCGAGAAAACGTTCGGTGGGCAAGATTATGCGCGTGGGCAAGGGGTTTACGCACTCTGTTCCGACCGATATAGTGAATTGCCTGGGGACCCAAGCATACACCGCAGCCTCAACATTGCGCTGTCGAGCACTTTTTGCTCAAACTCATTGTGGGAAATCTCGCGTGACTTGCTCTTCCTCGGCGAATAATCGCGAAAATCAACAGAACCAAGAGAACTTGAATCAACTTGCAAGCAGTATGACAGCAGTTCAGTCTGAGAATGTTGTCGTGAAAACGGTAAAAGTGCTCGAGACGCTCGGGGGGGCCCTAATGTCACGCCACAAATTCCCATCGGACGATGCCCGGCTGTTCCTTTCGCAGCGATGCGCGCAATCCGAAACACGTCATCGTACAGTGGCCTGGCCACCGCCAAGCCCTGCACCATTTTCGAGAACTTCCAGCGATCACGAAGTTCCGTGCACTATCCACTCGTATTATCTACAAGAGGCCTTCTGACTGCTCTCTCGTGTATTCAGATCGACTTCCTCCCCCCCAAGGGGTAAATCCACACTCGTTCGAGGGTTTGCGAGTGCCATCGCGAGACCGATCGAGTCCGTTGTGCCTTCCTTTACACCATAAAATAAGTAAGCCCGACGTGACAAGCAGACGGCCGCTACAACCGCATGGACGATGTACGTCGTGTATTTCGAAGCTAGTTTCCCTTTCAAACTCACCCACAGGGAACGTCACCGGAGAATGGCACCGCCTAACCTCTTGCTGAGAGATTCGACCCCACACGACCAAGGCGGCGGGCAGGGTACCAGCCGGGGGCTGCTGAGGAGTGCGGTAGAGGCTATCTCCGGAGGCGGGGAAGGTCGGGTCTTCAAACATGCAGTCACGTCCGGTAAGCGCCTGTGCGACCTCGTCCTCCTCAATGAAGGCTTGCTGGGGTAGATATGAGTATATATGTAGCAAAACGATCGGTGGTCCGTTTTCCCGCAAGCGGTTGGGGGCGCGCGCTCAATAGCTAATGTGCCTTATTCGGGTGGAGCATTCTCTTATTAATCATGCTCCATTGACCTCTGTTGTAGGCAGGTCATGGAGTGCTCGGCATCGTTTTCTAGCCATCCCGTATAGTCTGTCGCTCGGTTCGACTTAGTTTGCTATCAATAGAAAAGCGAACAAAAGTTCTGCTGGAAAACATCAACCCTCGGAGACTTCCAAAAATAAGCTACATGTGAAGACGAAACTTTCTCTAGACGAGATGTTGAAAAGTGGGTTACGGGGCGGTTCTACAGATGCGTTGAGCATTGCGTGCATGGGATACTCTGTTTCGGTGGTCGGCAACTATTTCGTCCACAAACACAAGTTTTTCTCTTATAAATCAGAGAGAAAGAGGTGTATGCACCTAGGCTTACGCGTATGTCTTCAGTTGTAGCTGTTCACCTTCGATACTCAGGACTATGTACGTCAAATACTCAGAAATTCCTTTCCCTTCGACGAGGTGCCGTAAGACACATGTGCACCAGGTGAAGGCTGTTGCCTTCTTGAAAGCGCTCCAAACGAGACTACCGCACCTCGTGCGTATCATCACATAAGTTTTCCAAGACCGCTGTATTTATCTTACTCCCTCTGCCACAGCGCAGTACTACACAGCACAAAGCAGAAGCTAGCGTCTGTTTTTTTTGTTAGCATCGACCGCGCTAACAGGCTGACCACGGAAAGACGTCAGTCTCAGTGCGGTTGAAAACGCTGTATGTGTGTGTACGTTCCGCGCTCTTGATCGTATCCTGCATCATCTCTGAACCGTGCGTGTACCGTTCACCTACAGGAACAAACCTTGTCATCGCGATAGTCAAAGAAGTTGGCCCCCAGCTCATGGTTACCCTGCGTGCGCATGCTGCTTCTGTGCGAGGTGCGAAGTCAGCACGATTCTGTACTCGCGGGGATCGTGGGATCCTGCGATCGTCATCAAATTATGCCGCATCCTACGCCGAACCGTTATTCAAACCGCATTTTTTTCGAATATCACCCACCATGTCGCCCGAAACAACTGCCCTCCCTTTGTGCACCAACATACAAGGGGTACGCTGTCATGCTTGGAGTCACACGCTCTAGGGGCCACAGGCAGTATATCCGGCATCGAGGGCAGAAGCGCGAGGTATCGAACCGCAGCAACGGCTCGGCGGCGTCTGTGAGGTTGTTGGTGCTGTGTGCGGCCCTGACATCAGCAATAGGTGGCGGTGGGCAAGGGCGAGTCACGGCAATCAGCAGCGGTCACAGACCGGGCTTTCTGGGCCTGGGCTTTGGGAGGGAGAAGGCCCCAGCTGTTCCTGAGCCGCTGTCCCTGGGAGACAGAGTTCGGAAGCTCGGGGAGCGCTTTCGGACGGGAGGTGATACCGGGTTGGCAACAGGTAACGGTGGTGGTAGCGCTAGCGGGGGAGCGAAAGCTGGAGCTAAAGCGATGGCAGCCGCTCAAGTTCGAAGCCAGGGCCAACAGACGCCGACAGGCAGATCCAATGGGAAGAATAGCTTCATTGCGGGAGGCCTAGCGGGCTCTATTTCCATGACGATCACCTGCCCGATAGAGGTGAGTCGTCGCATTGCTGCCGGGCGTTTTCCCACGGTTCGAAGCGCACTCACAGCAGAAACGCAAGCTCTCGGCAGAAAAATACAGGACACGTGTTTGTTGTGCGGCGATGAAAGCGTCTGTTTGCATTTGAATATGTAGTGGCCCGTGTTGCCTGTTGCCAGTCCGAAGTCAACACATCTACTTTCCCCGTAAACAGTTTTTTTTTGCTTGCCCAGTACACATCCAGTCTCCCCTTCTGATGAGACGAACTTGCTCCTGTTGCGCGTGTGATACACCGACATTGGTCTTGCATCGCGTCGACCACTGCTATAGATTCTTGTAGCATATGTCTATATATATTTTTTTTGCTGTTGTTGGCTCTAGAATGGTATTCATATACGCGGCAAGAAACGCGTCAGATAGGACACTGCCGTGTCTGCTGTAGTGGAGCCCGGTCCGTTGGGGGTGCAGGTTGCAAGACTGTCCACGATATGCGCAAATCCATGTGCTTTAATTCTCTCCCTCACTTTGGTCTCGCTGTAAACGTAGAACTTCAAGGTATCGAGTGTTCGCTTTGGCGTGGCATCTGTATACCACGAGAGAAGTTCCTCCGCGTCCTCCAAGACCACAATTGTACCACACCAAGTTGAAGATGGGAACGAAACGCATGGAAAGCACCCATCAGCACATGTGTAACACCTGTTGTACTTTGTGGGCGCTGCTGATTCCTGCAACGTCGGGTTGCGCATGCTGTCACGCTGCGGCAGGTGGTGAAGACTCAGCTCCAAGGGTCGGCAGTGAAGCACGGCAGCAACGCGTTCTCGATTGCCAGCTCCATCTTCAAGAGCGATGGGCCGCGAGGTAATGGACTTGCTCTGGCTCTTTCGCTGCTAGTCTTCGCTGCAAAAGAGTCTACCTGTGGCTCAATATCCGTGGCCCCCCGTTGCCGTTTTGCCTCTGCTGGTGTTGTATTTCCGTAGCAGACTGCTGTGGCTAGGCAAAAAAACATCGAGTTCGTCACCCGTAGTCAATGCCAAGTGTTGAACAGCCAAGAGCTTGCGACGGTGATTTGGCTGCGTTTAGAACTGTTGCTGTGTGACCCTCTATTGTGGTGTTGTGCGCGGCTCGACAGATGTGATGGGCGCGCTAAAGGGGGTGAGGGGGTGCATATGCCATCACCAGTAGATGTCTGGGCGTACCGATGCGCATGGAGACCCGCAAGTTCGTCGACACCGGGAGAAATCTTGACCCATCGTCGAGCGCTACGAGATAATCCCTCTCCTGTTATCCCGCCCCTCCCCCCGGGGGGGGGTGTCATCTCGTGCAGTCAAGTTGTTCAACGTCCTCTCATTATTCCACCACATGTGGCTTGCGGCGAGCGACTTGTTTGCGGTCTAAGGCACAGCTAACTTTGTGCATGTCGATGCACATTGCAACGACGGGAAACAACCAGCAGCCATAGGACCATTTTTTACTGCTCCACTCACTCACCCGTGCTCCCCTCAACAACCTACCCATAAACATTCTCGCTCGAAAAATCTCGTCCACCCCAGGCTTTTTCCGCGGTCTGCCACCCGGGCTGGCAGGGATCATCCCCGCGCGCTCGACCTACTTCTTCGCGTACTCCAGAAGCAAGGATTTCTGGACGAACAACGCTCGTCTGGGAGACCGGCATCGGGACCTCACGGAGGTTCTTTGCGGGGTTACGGCGGGCGTGGTGCAGAATACCATCACGAACCCGATCTGGATGGTCAAGACCCGAATGCAGGTAATAATTATTGTTTTTCATGTTGCCGTTGCTGTTGTTTATTAGTTGTTACTGCTTGATATGTGCTATTGCTGGTAGTGTGCTGTCTTTGATTGTCGCATTGCTCTTCTGGATAGTCCTTGGCAGGCAGTTCGAAGTTGATAGCCATCTTGGTTATTTGTTGCATCTGGTTTGTAGTATATGCTAGAAGTACATACCATGGTCCGCACATGAAATGTTCTTTTTTTTTTTTTCGCCCATACACGTGTCCTTGGTGCGACCTTGTGTGCTTGTGCTCTCCGGCGGGCAGTCTGCCAGGCTCTACAACAGCCCCTTCAAATAGCCTGAGGACCATCACCGTCCGCACATGCCTGTACCCCTCTGGGACCCTTGGTTTTATTTGTTACCACCCGCTGCCCGCCGTGTGGACGTTGTTGACCCGCCTCGCCCGAGGACAGCTCTTGGCGGACACGGCCACTGGCCAGATAGCCTACGGGGGTTACAAGGAGGCGATTGGGGCTATCTACAGGGACGAGGGGGCGAGGGGTTTCTACAAGGGCATGTCGGCGTCCTACTGGGGGTGCAGCGAGGGGTGCCTGTACTTCGTGCTGTACGAGCGAATTAAGAGGTGAGCGGGGTGGCCGTCGCGCCTGGTGGAAACGGTTTGTCGTGTGCGTGATAATCGCGATTATGGTGTCTTTTCGTCGTTCCTCTTGAGCTTCGCTCTAAATAGTTAATGCTTAATGCACCTCTTACCGTCTCTGACGGCGGGACGACTGGGGCGTTTCCAGGCAAGAGTAGAGGACGTTTCAAGCCTGCTGAAAGTGTGAATCGACGCCTCGCTGGTGTGTGTTGTACGCGCTTTGTGCAAGAATGGGATGTCGTACAGCTCTCCCAAGCGAGCATCAAGAACAACGGGTGTCCCCGAGTTGGCCAAGGATGAACAACAAGCGAAACCGTTCAGCATGTTTAACCCCCCGCCCATCCACCATGTGTGGCCCTTTGGAATGTATTGTTGTTGTCAGTCCCCCCGGGGAGGGGGGGCGCGAACTGAAAACCACGCCGAGGTTGTTGTCGGCCGTCGGTGCGAATGGACTTGATCGATGCCTCTTGCACGTGTCAAATACAATCTGCTTGCTGCAGACGCTTGCGCCGGCACCAGAACGAGGGGCGAGCGGAGAAGGGCCTTCCGCCGACGGACTCGCTGCCTCCGGCCTACCTGTTCGCGTCCTCGGCGTTCTCCAAGATGTGCGCCACGATCGCCACCTACCCGCACGAGGTCATGCGCACCAGGCTACGGGAGCAGGTGTGTGCTGGGGTAGGGGGGTGGGGGGGGTGCGTACTCATGTTTTGCATTCCATAGAGAAGACGGAGCTCCCGCGGTGAAAACATGTTATAGTAGTGTAAAGCCGGAGTAGGAGGGAGTTGACACCAGCGACAATGGGAGGCGGGCGGACGTTGGTGGGTCTAATGTACGCATTGTGCGGCAAAGTTGGTGTCCTACAGAAATTATGTACCTAATGTCCGATGTCGTCATCCTTCCGGTACCCTGGAGTGAATCGTCTCGGCATCGCAGAGCCCCGCATCGTCGAGCATCGTACAACCAAATACGTGTTTAGATTCTACATATTTCGCCTACCAATGCCCTCTTTGGCTGTGGTGGAACACCTTGTTGCTACGCGCCGGAATTTCTCCGTATGATTTTTGTGTCGGGTGTCGTGTAGATGGCCGTTTGAGTTTTCCGTCCTGTGTCTCGTGCCGTCATCCCTCAAGCACCGATTTGGAGCCGCTTTCTTCGGTTGCCTGCAGACCTTGGCGCCCGCACGCCAGTCGTACGTGTACTGTACTCCGAAAAAGAGGATACATTTATGGATTTATGCTCCAATCTCAAGTGTCCTTGCGCGGGCGCATGAGCAGTCGTCCACCCTCTGGTTGCCTCGGCTAGTTGACGACAGGCGCTGTCTTCGCGCGACGTCTTTGTTTTGCTTGTTCTCCGCGTCTCCTTTTTGTTTGTGTCTTCGTCTTTCACGCCAGTATATTGTGCTCTGAAAACGGATTTGTCAGCATGTCCCTTTATACGACCTCTCACATCTCGTTGCTGCTGTTCTCCGCCGCAATATCGACAGGCACGGAATGGAGTGTACAAGTACACGGGAATGTGGCAATCTTTGGTCCTCGTAGCGAAGGAGGAGGGGAGGAGAGGCCTTTACGCGGGCATGGGAACGCACGTCGCCAGAGTGGTGAGTGCGTGGGTGAGGGCTCTTGGAAGGGAATGCTATGATGTATGATGTATTGCCCCGCAAATCTATTCTACTCGTATGGACAGTTCTGGTTCTCCCGCGGGGACCCCTCATTGTTGCAAGTACAGTAATAGGTTTTGTATTTTCGCAGCCTGCAGCAAGGTGGTTTTTGTAGGGGTGTGTGTGTGAGAGAGAGAGAGTACTATCGTTGTGGACTTCAGCTGGCGCTGAGTGGGGCGATATTCTGCGAGGGGGTGACGGGGCTCAGACGAAATATTATCTTAAGACTACAGCCCGGCTGGTGCAGCTGAGCGGAGACGACTAACTGAGAGAATTGGAGTCATATTGGGTTTGTGGTTGCTGTTTGACTACCATGCTTTTGCCAAGCGGGCTGTTGCGTTGTGGGTGTGGCCTTAGATTCTGAGGTTGTGTTGTTTTTTTGTCCGTCGCACTAGTCACAGGCGACTCTCGCGTGCTTCGTGCGTGAAATTCGTTTTTCTACAACCCCGATGGTGAAGGCCCACCATCATCGTTTTTTCACGTGGTACCACGTTCTCTATAGTGGATGTGTTCAGTTTTATGCGTTGCATGCTTTGAGGCCGAAAGCGGGGGCGTCACCCTCTCGGCAGGAGCATGCCGTCAAGACATGCAATAATTTCGCCCCCCCCCTGCTTTCCTCCATGCCCCCCCTCCCCCCGCCGTTGTTGTTGGTTCGGGGACAGGTGCCGAACATGGCCATCATGATGTTGTCGTATGAGTTGATCTCGGACTGGTTGCGACGGCGAGACGAGAAGAACGCGCAGGGCTTCAACAACCTCCTCAAGAGCCCGGCGGCATGACACCGCTCACCGGGTTGTATTATGGTTAGGGTCTGGGTTGCCGTAGACCCGAAATTGAAACAAGTTTGCAGGTTGATCGCGTTAGGTATTGGACTGATTGATAGCATGGCCAAGCTGCTTGAGGGTGATATTCAGCGCTAGAGGGTGCCTCCATTCTGGATCGGCAGCGTCATCCTGGCATTTTGAGAGTGTAGTACTAGGCGACCATTAGCTTGGTAGCTCGCCGTTTTTTTAGGCATGTCTGACCGACTGCCCGACGAGTCAATGATTTGAGCAATTGACAAGCGACTTTTTTCATGGATTTTTTGGGTTGTGTTCGCGCGTGTTGGGAAACGCTTTCCTCTTTTTTTGCTTTTCATGGGCCCGTGGGCGGGGGTGTAACGGCATCTGCACACGACACGTATTCGACAGTGCACGGAAATGAACCCAAATTTACTCAACCACGGCAGCAGCTGCCAGACAAAATTCCCCAAATCGCGAATTGCTGGTCTCAGTCGCGACTAAAAAAACACATGAATTATGCATATAATATGCTCGTGTGGTGATGTGACAAAAAAATAGTGACGACAAGTGAGACTCATCACCTCTACGCTAACGATACCCCTTGGCCGTCACTTCACTTTATGAAGCTTCACAGAGATTGATTTCCGTCCATCATTAGCCGAGCATGGTAGCTGCACCCCCACCACGCCAATGATCAGGACTGTCGCCTTCCAGGAGGAATTTGGGCTCACGACGACGACAGCAAGGGGGGTCGGCAGAGCCCCCTGGTACTATGTACGTTTACCTCCACGCCACCCATCCTCTCGCCAGACCATTTCAAGTAACGTGATGATGATGCTCCGGCATCTCTGCGCGCAAAACTGTTCGGACGGTTGGTTGTTTCTTTGCTGACGGGTGATGACACCTCTGCTCTGGTGTTTACTTTCCTTCGAGATAGGTGCTGAACGGTGAACTCTCTCTGCAGATTGCCATGTGTTTCAAGACCCCAATTGATTTTCCATTTTTTTCAACTCTTCTCTTTAGATGGTTAATGTTTAGATTTTTTTGCGTCTCCGTGTAGGTGACGCGCAACGAAAACGGACCTACATGTAGAAGTAGCTGTGTACTGCTGCTGCTGTACGGCACCTTACAGCCGTTAAGTTTCGCTGCGATCTACGGAGGAGGCTATCGGAGATTGGTATCTTCGAGAGGCGGTGCCCATCAACGAGAGCGTTGGTTGGTGGTTTGGTTGTGTGGCTATTGCTTGGAGTACATACGCGCGGGTTTTTCAGTCGTCGGGCGCAAGGATTATTATGACCATTTCTGGGTACACAAAATCGACCTTCAGGGTACACCAGTAACCAGCACAGGTTACACTAGAGGGACGAGATGCCAGGGCCAGTTTTACCCGGTGGAGGTTTCTCCCGAGTGGGATGATGGTGTTTCGGCCAATCAGCTGGCTGCCTGGGGGTGCATGGTGTGTTGATTGTGGGTGTACCTCTTCGGGCTTGCTGTGTACCCTCTTCTTGCTAAAAGTGTGCGTGTTCTTTAGATCTTCTGATGGCTCCAGCATTTTTGTGACTACAGACCGAGTCTTTGCCAGATTTTGGGATTAGCAACTGACACGAGTTTAATGTGACAACAACAACAGCATGTATGTACATGTATGTGTAAGGAGGTGAAAGTACCCTACATTTGGTAGACCACCGCCGGGTACCCGTTTTTGGTTACCGCAGTGCGCGGGCCCCCCAGCCACATCTTGCAAGGGGGCTCGTCAAGTGCACAGGTTGATGCACTGCTCCCCCCCCCCCCCCCAACCCATTTTTTCGGACGCTTAAGCCAGTTTGGTCGTTTCCCTCGTTTCATTGACTTTAAGAGTGGAATGAGTTCCAACATCGGATAAGCAGCTAGCACCGGGTCACGGACGCCGTTCAGAGTCTCTTGTCTTGCAGAACCAACACACATATCGCGATACCTGCCCCCCCCCCCTATACAATGTGATGTAGACAGCTACAAGGGACGTAACAATCGGCAGCTGGCAGCTAGACTACTAGACTACTTACTACAAAACGAGCTGCGGCCCGGGCTGGGTGATCCTCCTGTCCTGCTGCCCGCGTCTAGTTCATCGTAGTCTGCATACATACATCATCACCCAGTGACGACGCTGTTGTTTCTCCTTGATGAGATACTCCAGTACAGTATAGTATGTGCTATGTGTTCAAGTGTTGTATGTAGAAAGAACATGGATGCACTTCAACAAGTATTTCTACCAGCAGCATGGTACCACACACAGCATGTATGTCATCTACGTATGTATGTTTGTGTATGATAATAGAAACAAGTTCACGACGCCTACAGCAGCAGCAGGTAGATACGTGCAGTAGTTTCCGCCGACAGGAATTTTGCTATGGTGGATAAAAAGGGAAGATATCATCGGCGGCAAGTGTTTTGTCGTCCTCCTCGCGAAACGAATGAATAATTTTTGTTCGGTCATCACAGCAGGCTCGACGAAAGAAAATACGTACAAAAGAAACACCGAGTAATACATATCCGGAGCTCCCGCAGCAAGGAATGGTAAAAAAAAATAGTCCACGTAGTCTAGACGGCATGCAGCGCGGAACGATGCAAAACACACACCGGACCGGGTTCTACCCTCTCCCTGTTCCTTTGCACTTAAACAGCTCCTCCTGCTGCATCCAGTGCAGCAGCTACGAGCATGGATTTAACACGTAGTCACCCGACCCGCTTGCATCAAAGTGAACTAACAGCACAAAAAAAAGCCTGTGCTTGTACTCTCCCGATGTAACGAAACAAAAAATGATCAACACATGTTATGCACTGCTGCTCAAGATCCCTAAATCCGAACAACAACGTCGTCATGACGAGGTTGGCCTGTTGCCGGTGCGGTGCTGCCACCGACATCGCCGCTAGCACCACCCTCGGATGTTCGCGGTCGCGCCGCTCCCCTCGCTCCTTGGTGGTTATCGCCTGACCGCTTCCTGGAGGACGTCCTGGCCGTAGAGGAGTTTCTGGCGCCCGGACGTGGAACGACGGCCAGCAGATCCTCAGGAATAGTGTAGCTCGCTCGATGATAACGCCGAAGTCCGGTAAGTTGCCGTTGTCACCGTTGTCATCGTGGTCGAATGGTTCATCACGACTCCCGTTGCTGTCCTCATCCACACACAGCGCTTCAGGGTCTACCGCAGCGGTAGCGACGGGGGCCAAGGTGTTGTCGCCTGCGCTGGACGGTTCAGGAAGGCTCTCGTTGTTCACCTCGTCCAGACACGCGACTCCAGCACCCGCCAATTGTTGCCTCGCCTGCGTACTGCTGGCGACGGGGGGCAAGGCTGCGGCAGCTTGGTTGGGTTTGAACCAACCATGTAACGTCGGCGACGCCTTCTTCGCGAGTTCTGTTTATTCGCCAGCTTCGTCCTGCGAATGATTGCCACATCGATGACGAGAGGATCAGATTCATTTTTTTTTCTGTCGAGGCGCAGATATATCATATTTCTCATCACGGGTTTTCACACCGAAGCTCATCACGTCAAAAGACAGCGAAATGAAAAACATCAAACCCGCCGCCAACGCGTAGCACTCGGGGGGTCGTTACATTCGAGAGGGGCACCCAAGATTGCAAATGTGCTGCCCAACACGAAGGGACGGCAACAGAACGTTGGGAGGGGGTGGGCGAAAGCAACATACAACAGTTAGTTGCTTGAGCTCAAACTTCTTGCATTCTACAATTAATGACCAAACCCATTATGCGGCCCCAAGGATGGGGTGTTCGTTCGTATGAATATTAATTTGTCTTTCAAGGGGGGGCGTGAGGGGCGGTTAGTCCATTCCTTCAGTGTCTTTTTTTTAGATATTTTTTCCCCCCGAAGGGACGACCCGAAAAGGGATCTACAAAAAAAATGACCCCCTTCTTACGGTGCTGGTCGATCTTTTTTCTCTTCCGAGTCATCGACAGAAAAAAGAGGCCCTGCAACGGCCGTTGTCATATACTTCTACCTAACCCTTCCACCGCTTTGGTTTTTCGGCGATATATCCACGCAGAGTGAAGCAGCAGCAACTGTAAAGCTATCCCTCGCGAACTGTGGGTATGGTCCATCTTGTGTGGCGGCTGATAGAGATCACGGGGCGATAGGAGGCAAGGAAACTGAGGTGGCGAGAGTCAACAGCACGCTGAAAAAAAGCCCACCGCTCCAGCCAACTCGAGCAACCAGTTTTTTTTCTCTTTTGCCCGTGTCGCAACTTTGGTTTACCGGTACTCCCTCGCCACCCACTAAAGCAACAACGATTACAAAGGTATGCGCCACAAGCTGTGTGAATGATCCGTCTTGTGTGGTGGCTGATACAGACCAGGAGGCCTTGGGGCGCTCAGAGATTGTGAGCGCGAGAGTGGCGGACAAGCGGGAAAATGACCCGCCGCATCTTCAAGCAGCTTTTTTTGCTTCTGCGCCCGTGTCGCAACTTTGCTTTAGCGATACTTCCTCGCTACCCACCCAACCAACAGCGATGAGAAAGGTATGCGTCACGAGCTGCGCGTATGGTTCGTCTTGTGTGATGGCTAATACAGACCAGGAGGCGGTAGGGCGCTCAGAAGTTGGGTTCGCAAAGTTGACAGTACACGAAAAATGACCCACCGCTGCTGCGTCCAGGCTCTCTCGGCTTGTTTGCCATTTTTTTGCCGCACACATCGGGTCGTCCACGTGGTCCAGCCGAATGAAAAAACAACGGCTACCGCTGGTGCTGCCGACCCTGTACCAGCCACATGGCACACCTCGTGTGACCACCGTTGGGGTTTGCGGGGATCAACCGTGGAGAGATTCAAGTTTGTAGGTAGGAGTCATGCGGTTGTGGCCAAAAAAATATCACAGAAAAAGACAGCCCCGACTTACCCAAAACTGCCCCAGAAAAAGACAGGATGGGTTGTCCAAAACGGGCTGTCTTTTTTTGTTGGCCTTTTTTCCCTGAAAAAAGACACCGTAAGACGGGGTTCTGTGGCCAGTTGTCTTTTTTGAGAAGGAAAAAAGAAAGAGACAGCTCCAAAAAAGAACCGTAAGAAATAGCCTTAGACTGTGGTTCCCTCGCGCGTTTGTGTTTTCAATTGTAAAAATCTTGTTGTGCAGGCTACGATACTCATCTTTCAGTGTATAGGCTTAAAGAGGCTCGAAAAATGTCCAGCATCCAGCAGGTTTTTCTCAACACTCACACCAAAATACTTCAACACATCCTTTCGGAAGGGGCATTATCTCGAACGGGGTTGCATGCGGATACAGCAACGCGGACCGTCAGCCAAGAATGGAAGGTTCAAAATATTCAAGTACAATTACAACCGGTTGTTTCTGCTTCTACAGGTGGGGTTGAAACCCACAGCTTAGCCGACGACCACACATATATAATATAGGTGGTGACTACGTATTACTATACAATATGTTAGAGATAGGTATGTCGTATATCACATCGTAAACTTCTGGTTAAAATGGACGCTCGACCTTGCTCGACAAAATCGAACATAGCATACGTAAATATGCATACAAATAGGCATGTGAATGTAGTCTAATATGTACGTGAAAGTTTACCTTAGGTGACACAAGATACCACACCCCCTGGACCGATTGCCCTTTTTTTTTTCGCTCACATGCACATCCAAAAAAGCAGCGTACCACTCACGTGTGCCTGCTGCTTTCCTCATGCGCATCGAGGTTCTCAGCCGTGATGTTCTTATAGGTGCCGAACTTGTGCCCGCAGCGGCAAACCCAAGCATCACCTTCCCGTGTTGCAAGCCTGGCGACGTCATCCTCTGTCGCCAATCTTCGCCGCCTAGCGCGCCCAGCAGAGGCAACCTGGCACACACGTTCTTCTTCCTCCGCATCATTCGCCGCTGCTGGAGTGCTCTCCGGACTAGACATGGAGCGTCAGTGTTGTGTGCTTGCTGGAGGGCAGCGTAATGTGCTTGCGGGTGGTCAGAACTGCGTGCTAGAGGGGCATGGCTGCTCTTCAGCCGTCGTTCCATGTAATAATGTACTATGCATAGGGCTCGGCAGGAGGGGGGAAGGGTTAAATAAGACGAAATCGCCCCCCCCCCCCCCCCCCTTCCCCTCCATTTCGTCCTTAATCCAGTTTTGAGCAGTGCATCAACATGTGCACTTGACGAGCCCCCTTGCATCTTGCAATGTCACATGCGTGATCCACCTACGACATCCCGATCGTCCATACGTGGGACCTCGTGAACCACTTCACCTCGTTTCTTCTCCTCTACCCTACATTCAGCAGCTGAGCTTCAGCGGATCGTCCTTTCCGCAACACAACCGTGCGCTAGGCGACCCGCACTGACAAAGAAACCGCAGTGCCCTCGAGGCGCGGCGGAACTTACGTCTCACAACTACACGCGATCCGTGCTCTCCGGCCGCCTCCGGCCGCCTCCGGCCGGCCGTCGCCGATTGAGAGATGCCCCAGGTGCCTCAACCCCAGCAGTGGCCTCGTGGCCCCAAGAATTCTTTGCACGAGGCTGCTGACTATGGTTTTTTCGAGACCGCAGCTGCCCTTCTTGCGAGCGATGCTTTCGACATTGATCTTGGCGAGGATGAGGGCGGCTGGACTGCCCTCATGATAGCTTCCCACCGGGGTTACTCCCTCATTGTCAGGATGCTTCTGAGCAAGGGAGCGCAGGTCTCGATAGCGGATGTTCATGGCGATAGTGGCTTGCACCTGTCCGTTTTGGCAGGACACATGGCCGTGACCAAGACGCTGGTGGAGGCCGGCGCACCCCTCGAGGTTGCCACCAAACAACTGCTTTGCACGCCGCTTCACCTTGCTGCTGACAACGGGTGCATCGAATCGATAACAACGTCGCTCGAGGCAGGTGCGAATCCCAACTGCCGTATGGAGAAGGGGGCAACACCGCTATTTTCTGTGGCTTGGATAGGGAACGCGGCTGCGGTAAGGTTGCTACGTCTTGCGAAGGCTGACCCGCTCTTGACTACCGCACCTGGTTCGCCGGAAAAGACGTTCCTCCCTTGGACATGGCGGCGCAAAACGGGCACGCGGAAGTTGTACAGGAGCTGATCCGGCAGGTGGGCATCGATGGATGTGGTGGCTCAAGTGGCGGTGTAGATGCTCTCCAGCTGGCCGCGAATCACAAACATGTGGACATCATAGTCATTCTAATGAACGCCGAAGTGGTAGACACGGGATTAGCTCTGTCGCGGCCGCCGGATGTGGGGTCGAGCCCCCCTTGAAGTTTCTGTTGGAGCAGGCAAGGGCGAGGAAAACTACGGATGGATCTGCGTATGTGAACACCCGCAATGGTGTCGGTTTGACGCCGTTGCTTGATGGCATTCAGCATTGCCGCCCCAGAGTTGGGCAGTTGCTTGTCGAAGCCGGAGCGGACACGACGTCCGCGGTTCCAGTCAGCAAGCACTTTGGGAAGGACAGCGTCACACCTCTGGGTCTCACCATGCGTCTCCTCGATGGTAGGTCAACTTATCCCTTGACAGAAGAGCAGCTGAAAAAGCTAAAGGCCATACGCCGCTTGCTGCTACGAGTGGAGGCAGTTCACGCGGTCTCTTGGCTGTGGTCTACCGATATCTCCACCATCACCCACTCTACCGCACACGGCACCGATAGGACGATCGCGACATCGACAACTGGAACGCCGCTCATGCTGATGATGAGGCGAAGGACTAAGCGGCGTGAGGTTCCTTTGTCAGCGCTGTTGAGGTGGGAAGTTGTCGTGACGTGGAGATAGAATTGTTTGACCTTAGCATACCCCAGCTCAAAATGGAATTAGGCAAAAAACACAATTGTGAAGAAATCCCAAAGAGAGTACTACACCACTCGTGAAGAATATTTTCCCCTAGAACAAGGAGGGGTAGGAAGGGAAAGCCTCCAGAAATACAACAGTGTATAGTGCCAGCCCGCTCGTAAGACACGTCTTCACAAGAAGTCGAGGCTGGGAGTTTTGAAAATGTACGAAAACTGGCGCAAAAAAGTGGGCGCAACCGGCGGCACCACACGAAACGCAGCACCCGACGCCACGGATAACACTCCTAAATTATGACCCCCGGCCTGTTTTTTTCAGCACCGGGAGCAGGGTGCAGTGTCACAACCTGGGTGTTGCCTGCGGTTTCCCCAAGTCTTCCCGCTCATTTTTGCCGTCGTTGCGACCCTCTTCTTTGCCCAATTTTTGTCGAAAGGCAGAGGAACTCAACAATCATGGAACGGCAGCGGCGCTGAGGGCCAGCATCATAACATGACCGATCCGAAAGAATTAGCGTGTCGTGGGCCCTATTGCTTTCTTGCTACATGCTGCCGAATGATTTTTTGTTGCTTGCTCCGACCAAAAACATGCCATCTCACCGCATTTTTTCAAACGACAGTTTGGAGAGGTGGCGCACATCTCTCACACGCCTTCTTGAGCAGTACCCGAGCCCCAATACCCACGAAGCGGCACAGCCCCGGGAGTACATGTCACCCAGACAGCCGAACCGAACAAATCAGCACGTTGGGGGCCTTGGCACTGCTGCTGTACTCAATCTACTGTTTCTGTGTTTGTCATGTGTGATCAATAGCGGCGGTAGTTGAAGACGAGGGCGCCATACAATGTCTCGGTTTGGCCAAACAGCGGACTTGAACGCGGCTTCTAGCGCTGGGCTACTATCGCAGTAGGCCTGGACATGAATCTGGCAGGTCTTGCTATAAAGTCGTTCTCAGTAGTGTTATAAAGGCGTCCTCAGTGGTGTTTCAGCGCCCGCGTTGCGCTTGCCTGATCCTTCTGTCAATTGTCCCGATGGGTGAAAGGAGCGCGCAGGGCTTTTTGGGAACCCTGCTCCTTTATCGGATCCGGAGAGAAACTGCACGCGCAGAACCCGAAACGTATTTTCCCTGTAATTTGTTCCTATTATTTGCCCTGCTCACACAGGTCTACCTCGAATCCGAGGTCCGCTTTCCATTGAACGTGTGTGGTTACGTGTTGTCCAAATCAAACGACACAAGACTTGCGTTGCGCGAACAGTCGGCGCGCGGCTTTTGCAGAGGCTTTCGCCTAACTACTTGCGGAAGTTGCCGGGGCCTTTGAACACACGTCTGCAGCGCCGGCTTTTGCCTGCATGTCAATTTCTGCATCTGGTCTGCGATTCTATTCCATCCTCTCGCTGCGGCTGCTTCCCGGCCTTGTGCTTGAGAGTTGCTTGCTTGATCTTGGCGTGCTGCGGCAGCAGCAACACGTGCCCGCTTTGCAGACGAACGAGTTTGTCTGGCGTCAACTATCTCGCGATGACTCCACTTGATGTGTGCCCACCGCAGTTTGTTGTACAAATTTGGCCGAGATAGCGCGGGCTTTCGCCTGGGCGGAACATTCAGGCCGTGTGCCTTTGTGATGATCATGTCTTTCGGCTGCAGCATGGTCCTCTCGTACATCATTCAGACAGTAGATGGATATCGATTCACTAATCGATTCGATACGATATCGATATTGAGAGCGAAGCGACCCGTTAGAGGCGGCGAGCCGGCGAGCACAGTGAGCTGACGCACGAAGGCGCGGAAGCTCGCTGTGCGAGCCCCGATGCCCCCCCCCGGCTGGTGAGGGGGCCCCGCTGTACGCGCCGCCGGAGGCAATTTCGCTTCACTTCCCATCACAATTTCCGAAAAATAGGCCCCCAAAGCCGGCAGGGTACAGCCACCTATTTTAACAAAAAAAACGTGTGGGTGAACCAGCTTCTAGGGTGAACGCATGAAGTCGGAAAATGCAGCAAGTGTTTCATGGTGTCATCATTTTAACTATCGCAACCTTGTCCTAGAAAGCCAAGTTCTCACAAAGCTACCGCTGCTTGGCTTCCCGCTACCGGCCAAATACATGTTCACATTTCGTGACCTCTATTTAGTGATCTCCGTCACTGCGTTCAATACTACCGAACCACGACCCACAAAGAAATACGAAAAAAGTGGAAGCAAGCCAGCCACCCGGCGTCCAACAAACCATCCGTACGCAGTACGCAGAGAATCACCACGACACCACTACGCAACATCTCTACGACACGCGACGAGAGTTCATTTCTGCTTCCGGCCGAGGTCTTTCTGCGAAATGCCGCTGGACCACGACAGCCCGTGGGAGCCATTCAGGAACACGAGCGCATCGATCGTGTCCTCCCCGAGGCGGTCGCGCTTCCTCGTGACTATGTTGCCGGCCATGGAAAAGACGCGTTCAGACGCAGCCGATGACGGGCGGATCACGACGTACTCCGATTGGTGCCGGCACCACCATTTCAGATCATCCTGTCCGTTCGAGCCTTCGTCGAGGCCATCTTCAGCAATGAACCGCCCAAGCTCCAGCTCGGCCGCATCCATCCGTGCCTGAAGTGGGAGCCTTCCGGAGTAAGGCTCGGCGCTTCTGCTTCCATCACCATCCGCTCTAATCGATCCACCGTCCATACCCATTGCCTTCGCTGTCGATACACAACTGGAGCGAAAGCTCTTCTTCTGCTTCGCCGGGGGCTGTTCGTCCGACGTACCGCCTGAACCACCACGATCCGCGGACCCGCCTGCTTCGTTCTCGGCGGCGATGTCTTTGGAGAACTGGGTCTTTAGGTCGACCAGAAGAAGTTTGCGCCAAGCTTTTTTTTCGCGGCCCAACAGCCACTCGAGCCCTTTCGTGCGTGGGCTTAGCGCGGATGCCATCTTGACAACCCCGGGAAGCTCGTCCCAGCGGTCGGCGTGGCCGACTAGCATTGCTTCGCCAGCATCCGCGAACGGGCCGTCGTTAAAAGCCGCTGCCTCCGCCTCGATGTGAGCATTCAAGACTGACATGATGCAGGGAAGTTCCGCCAGGCCAAGGGCATCACTCTCCAAGGCCTCGACTGCATCCGCAAACGGCTCCAGCATTGTCGCCATCATCTCCGCCGCGTTTTCCCAGTCCTTGCTCGTGACGTGGATGTCCACCCCCGCACGCTCGTTAACGACCTCGAGGGTGTGCACAGTGCTGTGCGATGTGCTGCTGTGAGGGTTCCGTGGAGTGTTTATCGAATTATCGTATCGATATCGAATCATCAAAATGTCGAAAGAACCAACTTTTTTTGATAACCGATATCGATACGATAATTCAATACGACATACCGAAAAATCTATACGATGTCCAACACTAGTACGCATAGTATGAATGGTAGTTGGAACAGCGGATGAAGAGTACAACATACTTTTTTATGTATAGCCTATGTCCGAGCCGAAGCTGCATGTATGTCCAGCAGGAAGCAGTATCGATAGAGCGATTTGTTCGAGTACACGGTGCAGAAGGACTACATCACTCTGTTGTGGGGCCGTCCTGTTGGGTATCGCAAACGAAAGGAAGGTCACCCGCAGTCCACAGTGCAGAAAGGCAGCGGTCATGCAGAGAGGAGATACGGTATTTTTTCGTTCGGTGGTTTCATCGACGGAGAGAGACAACAATACGAAAAGCTTGCTGGATGATGCTAGAGTACAGTCCGTTGGAGACGACCCGAAACGCACCAAAAGAGAATGTGCTCCACACAGATTTGCTAGAACTGTATAAAGCACGGCTGACACTGCTAGTGTACAAATTAGTTTGTGCCGCTCTGGTTTTTATCGCTGTCTTGATCTATCTGTAGCCGGCCGTGTTAGCTTGGCTTGCGGTGGCGGTATCCGCGCCATGATTGTCAGAAGTTGAGGTTTAAAGGTCTCCTCCTACAAGGATAACGGAGTAGATGAAACGGTTGTGTTTTATGTTGCGGGGCCACGTGCTCCTTGCATAGGATTTCTCGAGAACGAAGCGCCTCTGTACGCTCAAGCCCGCTGCGACCAATGTACGGACCGTTTGTCACTCGTCGTCTTTCGGACCCATATGCGTTTCTTGACAGGTACTCGTCGAAACCATGATGGACAAGGAAGGAACCTCATAAGCCTTCATTTTTGTCGTCGGACAGAGTGGCGTAGTGGGCGCCCACCCAGCAGCAGCCGTGCCGAAGCCTGGATTCAAACGTTTTCGGCAAAATGAACACGGTTTGAGTAGCATGGCTGAAGCACTTTAGATCTCCCCTAAAGCAAGATAATGACGTCAATGGTTCCGTGGGCATGCAGTAACAGTATGGTGAAGAGTTATCTCGGTATGTTGACTGAAGACGACTAATGGAATGGCAAACTGTGGCTGGATGCAGACCAATGAATGGCATGATTTCTCAAGAAAGCCGACTGCTGTGCTGCCTTTGTTTAGTCTGGCTCTTTTTTTTTTCGCTGTTCGAGTGTTGTATCCGATCCGAGGCGTTCGTGCGTAAGAGAAACCCTTTTGTGCTCTAGGCCTTGTCCCCCCCGTCGGTGTTCAACACCTTACCAGAGGGGTCCGTCGATATCCCTCGTAGTAGGCTCAAGAAATATTCCGGCCGTGATGTTTGGAAGCGAACTTGTCCGTCATCGTTTGGAACAAAAAAAACTCGGCGCAAAAGTTTTTCTTAACATGGCCGAACAAATCCATCTCTAAGAAAAGAGTCTAAAAAAAGATGGATTATTAGCAATGAAATTCATAGCATTATTGAATCGCCTGAACTGAAATCTCCGTTTTTTCTTACATCCGGACTAATTTCAGTACTTCGTCATACGCATCAGGCCTGCATGTAGACGGCATTTCCGACCATATCGACAAAAATCCGCCACATACAAACCGTGGCCAGTGGCAGTTCCCCCGCAGAACAAGCACGTGCGTGGCCGCGGTACTCTTGTGTGCCGTGCTTGCTGGCAGAGAGTTAAGCGATTTACAACAGCAGTCAAACGGTGAAAGGGATTGTTGAAAATGATTCCCCCATGCCGATGGGTGTGCCCTTCCATGGTCTGGTTATTAGACTACTGCTGTTCGCTCGTTGTAAACGTCGACGACACGCAGGACCAAGGTTCATGACTTTCTCGAGCTCCTACCCAGACTCTATTGTGTGTAATGATGTCCCTTTCTCCCCGACAGCAGTTTCCGCGACTATAACCTGGTCATGCGATCCTCAGAAAATGGATTTGTGAATCATTATTGGTCGCTTTTTTTATGAAACTATCATGATTTTCAACCTCGGAGAGGTATAATGCCGCGTGCGGATGGATTATTTCCGGGTACCATACCGCTTCTCCTCTCAATATTTCCGAAAATCGAACGCAACACTCACCAAATTGCAATGAATTTAAATGAAGATTCACGAGAACCTACCTCTGGACACTGCAGACACAAAGCTTCCTTCTCTTGCCAACCATCCTGTACCTTCGTGGGGGCATTCCCGGACCAGTCCGAGGAGAGGGTCGAGCGGACAGAGAGGGCGGAGTGAACACATATCTCCTTGTAAATCCGATCTGCGGTAGTTATCCCCCCCAGGGCCATGGGGGTCAGAGTGCGTCACGGGGCAGTAGCTCGTGCCCTCGTCGCGCAACAATAAACGAGTCTGGGTTGCTTCACAGGACATATTTCTTGGACCGCTCAGCCAAGGGCCCCAAGGCTCCAAGGCAGCCACCAACGCTCCCTGCTATGGTTTTCAATTTGGCTGAGCAAGGCACCACGCAGATAGCGAATATCTCCAATGCCGCGGGCCAAGTTAAAATAGTTTGATACACGACAGCAGGGCTCAAAAGACGAGGAAGATATATTCTGGATGGTAGCAGTCTGGTTGAGGATATCGAGCGGCCTCAAGGGTCCGCTTTGGGGTTTGTCGTGTCGAAGGTCGCTGAAAACATGCGCTGGAGGTTTGCCATGCCTTACTGACTTTCTTGAGGCTTTAACCAAGTACATTTTAGACAATTGGTTGGATCTCATCTTGGCCTCTAGATTCGTCTACCAACGAAAGAGTGAACCGATCGTGCCTTACATTTTCACTCTGCATCGTGTCCGACCGACCCATTCTGACCTCACCCACTGTTCTCACACGATGCAACACATACACATCCCAAGTACCCCTCACCCCACTCCGATATCGCACCCAACCCTCCTTGTTTGAGATGACGGCTCCACTGCACATCCGCCGACCTGACTTGTACAGACAAATGACACAAGCGTTACTGTAAGTCCAACTTCACGCACCAGATAGATACGTACATAGAGGCCATCATATAGACCCCTGTGTAGAACATGCTAGAGGCGACCGCACGAAGAGGTGTGAGTGTTTCCCCGAAAACCAAAATTGTTCATGCGTCGTGCAAGCTACTGAAGCTTTCTGCCAATACAGTTTCTACGACGACATCACCTGAACGCAACGTGTCGAATGAAAGCTGGCCTAAGGCAGAACATGCACTCTCAACATTCTGGAACCCAACAGTACGGTACCCACCCAATATAGGCTGTAAACAGTACAATTATTTGCCATTGCGGGTTATTCGACTTTCACTCCGGGCTCTGTGAGAACACAAAACTTCACCACGAGCTGATTGGAACATGCGCCCGTTGTTGGTAGCGTTTGTTTGTGACTACACATCAGGGAACCGATACCAGCTCGCTGCACAACAGCCCCCCAGCATACCACTCACATCCTTATCCGACGTTCAGCGACCATAGCCAACAAGCCACCACAAGAGCAACAAGGAACAGCATCAACACGTTCAAGGAACCGACGACAAATCAATCACAGAAAATATCCCCATCGCCATCACCGCACTATCACCCCAACCGCCGCACAGATAGGCTTAGTGTCAAGGCTTGAGGTTTGTAAAAACAAATATTATAATTCATTCCAAACTCTGCTCGGTACTATCCGACTAACGCGGACGCCTTCCGTCATCACATTCCACATTATCATATGCAACTAACTCAAAGATATTGAAAGGAGCCAGACACACTTGAGAAATAAAATAAAGTAAGTACTGCCATTGCAACAACAATAATGGATAATGGCAATCGAAATAATTTTGAAAATATTTTGCAAAACAACAGCATCATAACATCACAATGAAAATATAGTGTAGAAACCAACGCCCCCATGGGTTCTAGAAGAATGTCTCACCACTACCGCCACCACCACCAAGGACAACATCACAACCCATTAAACAGCAGCAACGACATTCGCATTACTATATCCACTGAAACAGGACTATTGAGAGACTGGACTGCACTTCAACACCGACCAATAGGCCACATACTGAATGTTGAAGCTGGCAACGATCGTCCTACGGCTCAACCACCTACCCTTTGGCACACTCTTCTGGCGTCAAGGATTGCAACCGCTACAGAACTTTCTACCAGTGCTGGCGGCACTATTTTACTTTGTGGGGTTCATCGAGTGTCATCGAAGCACGTCACCAATAATGGATATACCTGAAGGACGTAGACTACATACGGAGTACTAAGCCTGTCAGAGAGAATTTACCCCTCCCCAGCAGTCTGCTTTGCTCTACTACGCACAGCGGCACCCCATCAATATTTCCGCTTGTTGGGTTCATGTTGCCCGCCCCACGCGAAACCAAAGCGCACAGCAAAGCCAAGACCTCGAAGCCTCTCGTTGGGTACGAACCCTGACACCCCCACTCAAGCTGTTGCCCACCATTCATTCCATTTCCACGGAGATCTCTTGTCCCGCCGGTAACAATATTGCACATTTCGACTCTGTCAGGCCAAAAATAAAGGAGTACAGCAGTAATGCACATGGTCAATCTACCGCGGTTAGAACCTGTGTGTGTGGTACACGCCACCCGCCACATGGTGAAAGACCCAGAGTCTATGTAGTGGGGGCGTTACAAAGTTCTTGCCCTAAAACCATGTGCAGCGTATTACTGTACATGTAGAACCTCTACAGCCCTGCTGAATTCTCGGTTGCGCTGGCTGGCGCAGCCGCGCTCGCTCCCCCGCTCCCGGAGCCGCTTGTAGCCTCGGGGCTGGCCTTCCGCGCCGAGCCCCTGGTTCCACTCCTGCCTCCTCATCTGCGAGCTGCGGGCGGCTGCTCGTCAGGCGGACCGTTGGTGCTGCGCTTCGGCTGCTCCGGTCCCGTGAAGCTGTCGTGTTCGTGAGTTCCATTGCTCCAAGTCAGCGGCGCTGCAGCCATGCTCGTCTGAAAAAATATGGGAAATCCGCTCCCGACAAAGACGTACGCGCTCTGTGGTACTGAGTTCATGGAATCATTTTTACCGTACACGAGTTTTGCTCTACCAGAGCAGCATTCGTGAGACGTAAGCAGTACCCCTGGTCTGACAAAGTCGTCGACGGCATGGGTGGATGCATGGGGCGACAGTGAAACTACATTCGACGTCGTCACCGCGGGATGCCGTTGCACCGGCGGCGGAGGTCCTCCAGATGGGGGAACTTTTTGCCCTTGGGCAAGTTGATGGTGCGCTTTGAAGGCGTCCAACGACAGCAGCTTCGGCGCAAGCTGGAGCGCCGCGCTCTCCTCACCGGCGGTCCACAACCCCCAAGCCGCCTCGACCTCTTTCCTGTAAGCCTCGTGAGCCTCCGCCGGGAAGAGGTTAGCGAGGGCGTTCGCTTTGGATACGACATCGACGT